GCCAAAGCCACGACGATCACCATCAAACCGCGCGAGACCATCGAAGATTACATCACCCGACACCTCAGTCACCGTCAAGCCATGCTACGCGCCAAAGTTCCAGGACTCTCAGACGCACGCGTCACCATACCATACATCATACGTGGGCTGGCGTCACGCCCGGCCTTCCGCCAGCACATACCGAGCCTGCTCGCGCACAGAACGACCACTATCCGTGAACTCCGACAGCTGCTAGACCTATTCATACCAGCAGCCGAAACCATCAACCCACAAAAGACAAGGACAACCCGCACCTGGTGCACTTTCCACCATTCCAACTCCCACCACACGAACGAATGCCAGCAGCTACAAAAACTGCAACACGAACGACGCCCCCCGTACCAAGGCTACAACCAAGGGCGACCCGCGCAGACGGCAGGATACAACCCCCCACGCGACAGGGGCCGCGGTCGCTTCCGCCGAACCGACGCATTCAAACGCGCACGCAACAGCGCCAACGCCGCTCTGCACATACAAGAACCCGAAGATTACAATGACTGCCATTATTCCCCCTACAACACGGAGCACACGGAGGAGCCCGACCAGCACAAAGGCAGCGACAATGAAGAGGACATGGCACAGGTACAGCACACCCCGTCTCACAAATACTACCTCGATTCTGGATGCTAACCATCCTTCTTCCGATATGCGCCTACTAACGCCCGTCGCCAACCCTCTACCACGGCTCTCCCCAACAGCTCCGGAGCTAGAGGCACTCATACGTCTTCTGTCACGCTTCATGACCGCCGAGGAGCCACACTCCGCGTACCGCACGCCATCACAATCCCCACCTTTTCCAAAAACCTACTATCAGTAGCACAAGTTACTCTACAAAATGACTGCCACGTAGTGTTCACGCCTCACGGCGGCTATATGATACCATCCCACACCCCCACCCCACAAAACGCATTCGCGCATTTCACCCTTGACAACGGCTTATACAGCATAACGCTGAGTGACACGGCCAAGACGTCACCAACGGGCATACCGCTGCAACTCGAGTCTCGAGACCCCCCGGCAGAGTGCCACAACACGCACGAACCGAAACGCTCCATCGACGATTATTTCACCAAAGCAAAACCGAGACCACCCCCCCAACGGGCAATGCAACAGACCCCAGCACAGCCACCATGCCCAACACCCACGGCCTTCACAACAAGAAAACCACCCCGCAACATCCCCCCCCGCCACCGCGGAGTCCCCACAGACCGAACGACACACATCGCCCGTTTCCCATACCACCTCCCCGACATACCACCAACTCTCCGGGAAGCCGCGAACGACCTCTACACGTGGCATCTCAGGATGAACCACACATCCCCGACAACGCTCCAAAAAATGGCCACACTCCCCATCCCACGGGGCCTCCCAGCGTCCATAAAAAACGCCAAGTGCCCATTCACTGCCACGGCTGCAGTTTAGGACACATGCAACGCGCCGCCCACCATGACCACATCACGCGGCCCCCGGCCGGGCACACGATCACAACCGACATGGCTGGACCGTTCCCAGCCACCCCCGAAGGCCACCGGTACTTCCTCTCCTTCACCGAGCTGCATACACGCTTCACAACCATCGTCCTCCTACGCCGTCGCGCGGACGCCGGCAACCACATCCGCTCTATACTAACGCGCCTCCCCAGGCACTTCCACCGCCCCGTCGCACGGGTACGATGCGATAACGCGGCAGAATACCTCACCAAACTGCTCATCGGACTATTGCCGTCCATGGGCATACACCTAGACCCCACCACGTCTCATACCCCGCAAGAGAACTCAGTATCAGAACGACTCAACAGGACCCTCGTCCAGAGGATGAGAGCAACACTCACCGCAGCCAAACTACCGTTCTAGAAGTACTGGGCACTGTGCCTACTAGACACCACCATTAAGCACAACTCATGCTACCACTCCACCATCCAAGACATCCCCAGAGCAGTCTGGACACGGCATCGCCACGCATACTCCCCCTTTCCCCACCGTAGTCTCTTCCTCGGCAACTACCGCATGTTCGCCGAGTACGGCTTCATACCGGACGTACGCGCAATCAAACAGAAAAGCGATAACCGCGGTATACTAGTACGATACCTCTACCCAGTAGACGACCGGCACTACAAAGTACTCAACCCCCGGAATGGACAACTGATGACTGCGCGCATAGTCAATTTCCGACCCTACAACCCCAAATTTGACCCAAGCCTTCGGTATGCCCACCCACTACCACCTGCGGAGGTAGTTCACCCATGGGTGAACGCCCACCACGTCATACCAACCGAAGCCAACCTGGTAAGCCACACAAAAATCACATCGGACAACACTACCGTGCGCAAGCCACCCCCCAAACCGCCACGCAACCTGTATGATGCCCGAGCAGCCCCCGACGCCGACGCGTGGGCCACGGCGTACGCTAAGGAAATCAACATGCACTCCTCGTTCCGGACATTCGCCTACGTCCCCCGTGCAGCGCTCCCGCCCAAGACCAAAGTACTCTCACCGGTAGTGAACCTAAGCTACAAGTTAGACAAGACCGGAAACGTCATCGGGCATAAAATACGGTGTGCCTACCCTGGAAATAGACTTACGCCGGGCATACACTACGACGCACGAGCCGTGTCGACATTCTCTACCGATAGAGACGCCATGCGACTTGTCCTCGCCGTATGCGTTTCACACGGCATCCGCGTGAGACACATAGACCTCACAAGCGCTTTTCTCCACGAACCGTACTGCCGTAAAACACCACTCTACGTCACACCACTGCTACACTTCAACGGCACACCAACTCGACCAGGCATGGTCGCCCGCATACAAAAAACCTCTGGGGCACGCCACAAGCCCCGCGTGTATACAGCGACGGCCTCCGTCGACATCTCATCACCCACGGCTACACACAGCTCAAAGGCGACCCTAACGTCTACCGAAAACGCGACGGGGACAAATTTTTGATCATGGCGGTAACTATCGACGACTTCGCCGTCGGCACTAACAGCGACAGGATGTACGAAAGCCTGCTGGGCGACCTCAGGCAGAAATACCACGTCAAAAACCTCGGCACCGCGGCTCACCTTATCGGCTGGTCATTGAACTGGTCACACAACGGCGCATTGCACATCTCCCAACCACACTTGGCCCGTTCTTTCGTAAACCTCCTCCGCATGGACAAGGACAAGCTCTTCCACACCCCATATCTCTCCGGCATGAAGCTGCACGCCCCCGACCCACAGGAAACATGCCTAGACACAAAAAAATACCCCTATGCCCGAGCGATAGGCATATTGCGATACCTAGTCGACTCCACCCGACCCGGCCTCGCCTATATCACTTGTTTATTATCCCGACACACCAAACACTTCACAGGGCGTCACTGGACGGCCCTCAAGCACGTCGCGAGATACCTACTCAACACCATCCACCACGGCCTAATATACACAGCAGGTCCCCATCGCATATCCGCGTTCTCCGACGCAGATTTCGCCGGGTGTCACGACACCCGACAATCGACGATGGGCAACGTCATTTGTTACGGCAAAAACGCAATATCATGGTCGTCCCGCCGCATCAGGACCGTGGTGGATTCCACGTTTGCATCCGAATACATAGCTGCAAGCGTAACCGCGCAGCACGCGAAATGGCTGCGCAACCTCACAACCGAAATTACCGGCACCAAACTCCCCACGACGGCGCTTCATATGGACAACCAAGGCGCAATCGCCGGCGCCGAGGCGTCTGCGCCCACACGCAAAACAAAATATATCGACGTACGATACCACGTGTTACAGCAACTGACACGCGACAAGGTAATACTACCAACCTACGAACCATCTGCAGACCTCCGAGCGGACTGCCTCACCAAACCGCTCACGCGGCAAACCTACGCCAAACACCTCAACAGCATACGCCTCGTCTCGCAGCCGCGCACCCACGGCTGTAAGGGCACCACAACACCACTGCGCGACCACGAGAACATCAGCGCAGACTGTAAGGGCACCACAGATTAGCCCTAAATCACACTCATATTAAAGTGTGACCCGGGCCTCCTACGGCGGGGTCCGGGATCATCGTTCCCCTACATCCTCGCACCTTAATATACACTAGAGATCTGTTGCCCGGCGGCGAGTGAGGTGAGCTGATCGTGCTGTCATGCGTGTTCCACGTGTGCACGTATTGCTCTAATGACAGGGACAGCATCTACTCTCGAGTCCGTGGCACAAGTAGCGATATTGTACCTCGAAAGCTCGAAGGGAGAGAGCGAAGGATCAAGAGAGAGTGACCCTCTCTCACTTCTGTGCTGGATGTACATTTGTGGTCTTGGTGTATGCGTCAGGGCCGTGGTATCTAGCACTGAAGCTCGCTAACGTGTCCGACGTGGAGAGGCGCGCCGGATGTGCACACGCATGACAAAACTGTTGGCTTCACGTGCAATCAGCCCTTTAAGTTTCCTGGTTTTCATAAGAGCACGAGGAGCACCCGCGCTCGTCCGTCTCATCGCGACTGCCCGTTCCTCTGCCGCTTGGCGGCACGCTGCCGGCTTCCAGGGGCGGCCAGTTGCAGATGTCTTTCGAACTGCGGTGAACGTCTTGGCGTCTCCTTTTCAACACTTCCGGCATCGTCATTCGCACCTCTGACGGTCCGTGTCTTGAGAGTCAAGACAAGGCTCCGTCTATAGCCCTCAACGTTTCCGCTGAAGTGAGAAACATTTTAGCCCCTCTCCTTCAATGCTCCAAAAAAGTGCGACCACCTTTTCCCATTAAACGCCAACCCAACAAGTGTCCCGCGTGGCGAACCTTGCCTCAACATTGGCAACGCACAAGATGTCTACCCCGGACCAGTCAATCGCTTTCTGCTTCCGCCACGCGTTCCATCTCAACGACCCTGACATACACTCTCCAAGCCCTCCGTTTCTTGGGAACGGTACCACCGATGCATCCGCAAGGGATGTAGAACGCACTACGACCGCCTCTCTTATTCAAAAGCATCATGTTTACTTCGCAAGCGAGCCAACACTAAATTCCCTGAATTTTTAAGCAGTTATCCACACTCATCCACACACCAACGCTCAGGCCCCTATCGTCCTTCTTTTCACGCGCTTCTTAATACTGACAGCACACCCTCGAGCTCGATATGCTCGAAGCGGCTGACACAAACGTGAAACCGCGCCTACACTCACTGAACACCGTCTGCGCACACGCTTCAAATCCATCGCCATCCGTGCATGCTTGGATCTTCCCCCTTACGCACTCTAGCACCCTGCACACGAACGAGTTTTCGGTGTAGCACATCGTAATTTTTTGCGACCGGAAGACGCACCCGTTCGTCACGGACAAGTTCACCAAGATCGACTTCCGCCCGTCACTGCACGCCGGCTGTTCGGTTGCCGTGAGAGAATTCAGACGCGGGGTGCAGTCGTCACCGGTGGCTGCGGACAGCAGCAGCAAAATGAGAGTAAAGTAGAGCGTTGCGGCTTGGAAGGATGCCATGTCGGATGTTGTTTTCGTCTTTGTGGTTGGAGCTTAGCTTCTGAATCGATTGTTGCAGATTATGCTTTGCTTTATCCTTTTGCTTCATCACCCGTCCTTTTATATTGCTCGATGCAGCTGAGCAAGAGGCCCGCCGACGGTGATTTCATCTGGAAGCAGATCGACAGCGAGGACAGCGAGAACAGGCGTGTGTTTCCGCCGCTGACACGGGAGCAACACGCGAGCAACAGGGCCAATCAGTCAGATAATCTAATCTGCGGTGCAACAGGTTGAGTTGTACAGTATCATGAACCACTTGTACAGCTGACAGAATCTGTATTCTAGTCTCGAGTGACCACATAGGAGACCGCGAATCGCTCCCACTGTTTTGCTTAGGATGCAATTGGTGAGGACAAACTTATCTCGGTGTGAAATGAAAGAGTTCCCATGTGTTGCCTGGAGATTATGTCGATGTCAGACTGTTTTGAGTCTCTCCCGCGCGTTTCTGCGAAATGTGCTGGCTTCCACTTCAGAAAGTAAAGCGGATCCGATATGACATGCTTTGTGAACAGGTGTAGGATCCGGGAGGATTGCTGTCACAATTCCGGGGTAGTATATCTTGTCGATTTGACACATGTGCATCCAAATCGATGCAATCAAATAGTGTCGATATTATTGTTTACGCGTAGCTCCAACTGCTGAGCACATCCTGAATAGACAAGCCGTGAGGGTGTGTAATCAGATGTTTTTCCAGCAATTATCTTCTCACCTGAGATCACAATTCAACAAATCTTTTCTCAGTTTACAGTTGTTCTACAAGACCATGAAAAGTAGCATTGTCATTTGGAAACAAGTGCCAGGTGGCGGCAGGCCACATTCCAATCAGAAGCATGTGTCCCTCCCAGATATTTTTACCAAGTGAAGCGAAAAAGTACTTGATACGGGGCCTTCGAAACAAATCAGGCAGTGTCAAATTCTAACATGCAATTCATCTTTCATTGACTTTTTCGTCTTCCCATGTTTGCAAACTACGACAGTATCCCATTGTTCTGCCCGATTTCTTTTCCGATAGCAAATACGTTTCAGAAAAGATCCAAATTTGGGAATAATTTCATGCATTTTGCCGCAAAAATCGGGGTACAAGGGATGATATCTCAGACTGTGAGGGTGGCTTACTACGTCGGGTGTCAACCTGCATAGTGGGAGCCGGCATTGACCCCTCCTGACGTATCCGGCATGAAAATAAAGAGTAGCCCCTTGCCCCTCAGTTGACTTCGTACGAGGTCAGTTGTCATCTAGACACCAGCTCGTGAGAGCTATCAGCCCTTCCAGGTTATTTAAGAGCACGTCTACGAGAGTCAATGTCATGGGAGACCTGGCCGAAGAAGCGTTTTACTAAAAAGCTAAAGTCTACTGCCCACTATATACTGTACCAAGGGTACCGTGCTGTGTGCCAATACTGTACATTAAGTTTGAAAGGTTGCTCACAAGGGCACATGGACACCAGCGTCCGTCCGTCTCATCGCCCGTCGGCCTTCCACTGCCGCACGGAGTGACATTGCCGACTGAGACGCTTGGGTGCCGTAAAAAGGCTTAGGCAGACCGCCGAGGGGTATAGGGTGACATTGCTCGGGTAGCATGTGGACTTTCTGCCGCCTTCTGCATCCTCGTTTGCAACCCGACGGTCATGCTTTGAGACGCTGCTTGTATAGCTCTCGCTATATGTTTTGAAGGCGTTGCACTCTTCTCCGGGGTTAGTGACAATGGGCGCGAGGACGGATGTCTTCGACATTTTTTTTTCCGATCGTTCGCACAGTTTGCTTCCTTCTTTCGGCAACATGTCATCCTTTTCTTGGCACTACATCCTACGCGCCCCTGTCCATTACACGCTTTAGCATAGACTTTTTTTACTTCTCCCTTTTTTAACCCCGTGATCGTATCACCATCTCTCCTCACCATCATCATACCCACCATTGTCACATACCTCGCCACTCCATATCCTCCGCGCCCTGTGCAACGTGCGGTGGCTTTACAGCTTTGCGTTATGTTTATCGACTACTTGTCATGTCCTCGCTGGCATCTCATCCCATTATTAGCTTTATCACAGGAGTTGCCACCCATCCTTCAATTCTCAAGGCCTTGCATTATCGCCTCCCATATTTCGCCAAACACAGCCGCTCCCATGTCCGTATAAAAAACTGGTGACGCGATCGCTCTCCGAATTAATGAACAGCACCGTAGCCAACCAGTTGTCCTCCTCAGCAAAGAGACCTATCATATGGGTAGCTCCTTTTACTGTTCTCCACAAATGCAGCCTCCACTTCGCAAGAATCGCACAATCAACAACTGCCCCTCCCTGTGCCATCTCTCCCGGATTTCGTCGAACGCGCGACATCTCGACCCAACAATAGAGATATCACGCAAACGGAAAACTGTTTGCTCTGTAAATAAAATTACACTGAAATCATGGGTCCATATAATTCTGCAATTCCTCCTGAGCAAAATTGCAGAATTATGGCTTGTGATTTGGCAACTCGATCTTGCCTGAAATACGTGTTACACGTTCTCGTGTGAATCTAGTCTTTAGATGGCAAGTGACCTCATTTGAGGCAATTTTTCTCCTTACTTTTAGTCGACTGGTGCATACTCAATGCGAATGAAAAAGATATCCTCGCCATAGCAGATGAATTATGCGGGGCATAAACGATTGATTTTTTTGAGAACCGCATTTCCCTTCCGGTCGTCTTTAGAAATGCCTGGAAACGATTTTTTGAGCACCCTTGAAACATTTTGTGTTGATATTTTTGGAAACAACAACGCCCTTCTCAAATGGCAACAGGGTATTAAAATTAAATTTGATTCTTAGTTTCTCAGTGTACTCAAAACGGCTATCGCGATGTTCTGCAAGATGTTATTGCAGTGCCAAGTATCTTAAAGAAATAGTGCTCCAAAAAGATGTTAAAGTTTCGATTTAATTCGCGTTATTTTTTTCCATTGGCCCACAAACTGGCTGGACGTAAAGTAAAGTAAACCCGAGATTGAAAAATTCCACAACGAGTTTTGCGGACTGACCTCCAGCAAGGTACCTGCCTGCAATAAACGCAAGTCTGGTACATCGTTGTGCCGCCCGACGGATCACGTGCACCTGCGCGAATACTCGCTGAAGCGAATATTGTAGCTTGCCACAAGGACAGAAAGTTTCTCAGTCGAAAGAGCGATGTGTTTCGTCTTCTTGACAGGCTGAGGGCGGCCGTTTGGAGAGGACCGCTTTTTAGAAGTTTCTACTTGTCTATCTTTCGCGGTTGCTTCGGCAGCATATGTGGCAGATCTTGTGGTGCTTTGATCCGTTGATGGACTCTGGGTAGATGAAGTGATAGGGGCGAGGCGTCCATGACGCATATCGCTACGACGGTGCAATCTGGGACTCGTTTGTGCTGATGAAAAGAACGGAAGACCCGCTTCGTTTTTCTTCACGACGGGTCGACCCGGCACTGCTGTGATCAGGCGAATGTGAAGCTCGTGGAAAACTCACATGCCCCGAGTTTTCGGTAAGCTGTGAGTTTTGCCAAACGCGTTGTTTGAAAATTTTGCGTTCAGAAAATCCGAGCAAACTCTCCGCCAAAACACGCGTTTTCGTGACTTGACGGACAACGGTACCATATGTGTATTTTTGCAAAAAAACGCTGGCCTCATGTGAGGCAAACCGCTTTTCGTGTAGACACTAATGCTCCGTTCTTCTTGCGCTTCGCATCGCGTTCCAACCTCGTTTGTCCACACTGTGCGAGCGCTCACTCTCTTGCGAGGGATAACACCAATGCATTCGCACAGGACAAACAACGCACCACAACCCCACTCATTTTCGAATGTCTCTTCTTTACGATGCAAAAAGCAAAAATGAAATTCCCCCCATTTTAACGCAGCTATCTTTACTCACCAACACGCTAAACCAAAGCACGCCTGGCCCTCCCTTCAACCCCATTAAAACCTGCAGCATTCCCTCGAACTTGAAATGCTAGAAGATGCCCCCGTAAACGTGAACCCCCCCTTGCACTCATCAAACACCTTCTGCGCGCAAGCTTCAAAGTCTTCGTCATCCGTGCAAGCTTGAATATCTGCCCTCACACACCTTCTCACCTCCCACACACGGGGCTTCTCACTGAAACACAGCGTCATTTCTTGCGAGCGGAAGATGCACCCGTTGTCCACGGTCACGACCACCGAGATCGACTGTCGCCCGTCGCTGCAGTTCGGCTCCGGGCGCTTAGACAGCGACGACAGACGCGGCAGGCACTCTTCGGCGACAGCAGCAGACAGCAGCAGGAGCAGGAGGGCACTGTATAGCGCCGTGATATGAAAAGAAGTCATGGCGATAGGTGTATTCGTCTTCGTCCCGAGGGCACAAACTTTTCTGAAGATACGGATGCTGAAGATGACAACTGGCCTTTGCATTTGTCGTGTTCCCATCTGCTATTTATGTAGAAGAGATGCACTTGGGCAGGAGGCCCCACCAGCAATGCTTTCATCCAGAAGGAGGCTGGTGCCAGTCACGGTCGCTGCCAGCAGCGATCATGGGCATGTGTGCCCGCCGCTACCACCAAAGCAACAATGCTGATCTTTCTTGGAATTAAATCTGTGGTCCTACTGTCCCATGCTAGAATTCTACAGCTTGCAAGATGTCGAGTCTCCTCCCGCGTGTCCTCATAGGAGGCCGGGCTTTGTCCACATTGTTTCGCGAACGAAACAATCGTTGAGGACAGAAATCGACCCAGTTCCTGCTGGTAGAGTTTCTATGTAGGTCGAGTGGATTCTGTGGCCATTTGACTGTTCCACTTCTCTCTCTCTGGCGTTTCTGCGCAGAGTACTCTAGACTTCTACTCCGGGAAATGAAGTGGTTCTGGACTGGGCGAGTTGCACATATTAGTAAGCAGGTGTTGCATACGTGACCTATGTAGCCAAATACCGCTACTTCTTGTTGATCTGAAAAAGGTGATCTCATATCGGCACTACGATATTTTGTTACCAGTGCAGTGTGGCTCCCACTTCTAGCACCCCCTGAAAAAAGTCAAGGAAGTAGCTGTTAGAGTAGAAGCTACATCGATAATGGCTATTGGCGTTGTTGAGGATACAGTTATACACCTTAACCCTTTCGCTCTGGTTCTACGAAAGGACCTCGTAACACACGTTACCACGGTACTGTCGTGACAGCAAAAGTAGATGGGATTCGGTATAATCGGACCCGTAGTCAATGGCCCTATCCTATGAGTTACAGTATTGATTGATTTTCTCAATTCAGCAGAATTGAGGCCGACTACCTCACATGATCTGGAACGCACTAAGATTTTATCTGCGATGCAACGCAGTATGAAATGTGTCTCGTGCAGCAACTCTAAGAAATTAAAAAAGGGATACCCACAACGCCAAAGAAAAGCCTTAGTCTTCCTCCTACTTTTTTAGAAAGTAGCCAGACTGTTTTCTAGCAATTGACCGCACCTGCTTTCACAATTCAACGTATTTTCTCTGAACACTTGCCCGATAACAACAGGAAATATACCGTCGTCACCATAACTGAGTGCGGGGTTTCCAGAGGCTATATGGCAGTGAAAACCATGTGTCCTTTACACTCATTTTTGGAACTACAGCGAAGAACACTGTTACCACTGCTACAAGTTTTGTGTCTTTGTTTTCTTCGAGAACAATACACATTTTAAAGTGCCAACTCAAACCATGAAGTTCATTGACTCCTTCGTCTTCCCACATTTGCAAAGTGCTCGCCCGACTTAATGCACAACGCCATTTCCGAGGGCCAATACGTAAAACAAGATGTGTCCATATCGGAGCTTTAAGTTGTCGAAATATTTGAAGTAGATATCTCTAGTATTCGTTTCTATGGTTCCATATATGGGACCAAACTTTTGGTGACCCATATCATCGCTTCTGTGCCTATTTAAGCTGCCACCTTCCAGAAAGTCATTGGTCCTGCTCCACTCTCCGCACTCGTGGGCAGCGAGTCGAGTGGAAGAGGTCGCAATTCCCCATTCCAATCTCACCTTTCATTGGGTTTCTTCACGTCTTCGTCCTTCCTTTTTGCTGTAGGATCCATATATAGTACCAACCAAAATTGAAAAGTTTTATTTAATATCGGGCCACGTCGCATCTAGTGCACTACAATTGCTACAGAGTTCTCCTTCTCTTTGAACGTCTCGGCACCGTACGTGCAATTTCGTCTCTAACCCTTGTCCTCGAATGAGAATCCTCTTCCTCAACCCCCTCATCATCGTCCTGATCATTGGGGTCTGGCTGCGTTGATGTCCGGGCAGGTCGAGGAGTGCACCTCGGCTTTAAAACATTGGCCGAGTGCCAGAGTTCACAGCAGCAGCTCTTGCGATTTCCAGGATAGATTCTTGTACATACAAATACATCGCACTGAACGCATTTGTACGTCGTTTTGTGTCCCCTCCACCCTAAACCATTGCCCTCAGTTCCCTCTATTCCACATAATGCGCAATACTGTTGATCCTTTTGCTGTTGCACAACATGATTCTTGATGCTGAGTCGCAATCGCTTCCCATGTGCTCCGTTAAAAACAGCAAGCGCTTCCGTTTTTCCTTGCCGCGAGAGTACACAGTTTTCTCACTTCAGTGTCCGACACATCATCTATTTCTTCTCTACATACGGCATCCGCTGTTTCCAACGATTGAGAATATATTAAGGGCTCTCTAGAAACCTCTTAAACAAATTCCGCAAGTGATTCTATCTGATTAAGTGAGTGCCGATAAGACGTTAAACTCTGGAAGGCTTGTTTGCTCTCCAACAAATCCTTCTTCTGTTCCATTCGCCATGCCATAAAAGAATTGATGGCCAGTGTTTTAAACGTTTGTGTGACAACGTTTTGCTCCCACTTCATTGATGAAGTCGATGAACATAATATCGCGCGAGCCTGAGCCCTCCCGTCAACCCCACCCTTAGTGCGGGAGTATAAACTTTGAGAAGCATGCTTAAAAGCTTCAATGGAGGAAAAGCGTTCATTTTGACGTAATTGGTCAACAGTTGCCAGAATTGTAACCTCGAGGTAATTATACGCTTGTTGCGGCGTCACTGAACGTAGGAGGACTGGGTTTTTCTTGGTGCGCCCATGAGACTACAGGCTGCGAAACTGCTGCCAAGGCGGCATGACAGTTCTCTAAAATAGCATCCGTGCAGTGCACGAGAGCAGTGTAAATCACTCCAGCTTCGGAGGCTGAGACAAAGATCAGATAATTAACTTTATGGACCACTATTTGATGTAGTAGCTGCCCGACATGATCATCAGGAATGTAGTGCGTAAATGAAGACTCTCCAACTTGGCATTTAACCACATCCGCCGTTGCCAAGGACAGTGTCCGATCTAGACTGATTTGAGCAACACTAGTCTTGATTTCCACTGATGTTAGATGATTGTTCGGTCCCTCTGAAACGTCTCCTGCATTCCAAGCGCATGGGGATCAATTAATACTACACCATCAGGGGAGCAAGCCAACTGTGGGATAACTCCTCTCCGCCCTGGGTTGGGTGAGAGGCGGAGGCTATAGCGAGGGAACACGCGGCGTGGACACGTCGCGCTAATTGAACCGATCGGACGAGCTCGCGAAAAGGGAGTGGATCACTGGCCGGTTACGCGCAGTCGCCCCGTGGTGCGTGAACGGGAGCGACCGGTAACGGGTTAGAAGCCAGCGCGCGTGATAGACAACCGAAACGGACGTATATAGGCGCGAAAGGGACCGGGGCGAGCTTACCCCAGTTTACAGGTAGGGACGGGTGTCAGGTCTTAACCCCTCCGAGGGACGCCTCGGACATCTGTTCCAGTACAGTAGTACAGTACCTGCCGCCTAGTGCGTGCCGGGTACTGTACACAATTAAAAAGCTAGCGCCATAATTACTACTACCGTACGGACGCTGCTACTACACGTGTGCACTACTGTACACGCGTGTTGCTTACAGACTACCGCACGGACGACACGTGTGCTAACGCGCACCCGTAACACGCGTAGACTACCGCACGGACGACACGTGTGCTACTGTACACGTACGCCAGATTACGACCGCTCGGCACGCGCGCGCGCTCGCGCGGGTCATTATACTACACCAACCAGTCCTCTCCTTTCCTGGCAAGCATGCCACACTCATACAAGCACTGGACAAAGTCCCTAGAAGCTAGTGAAGCAATGACTGCTGACTCATTAGCTGTTCCACGCATCATTGGTTCACTCCATCGACTCGAACTGAAACATGTCTTGAAAAAAGACTGCAGTCGTTTTTGTGGGGTCTGTTCCGTACTCTGTCCTACATTAGAATCCATTCCAATAATGTTTCTTACTTCGTTGTTATTGCACAGAATTATCCCAGCACTTGTCCCGGTTACACGAAACTGACGTAAAACGAACCAGTCAGCGCATCTCTGGTCAACTGTTAACACAATGCAGTTGACCAATAGACGGCGTTCCATGTCATCCTTAAAGTCGAATGTGTCCGGCGGTGGGCACAATATCCTTCCGTTGTCAGTTCTCTTTGAAAGCATTTTGTTACTTAAAGCTGCCCTCTTGGGGACCGCAACCCATGTCCCCAAACTGGCTGAGACATTTAAGGGTACAGTGTACATAAAACGTATGATCCGGGTGAACTTGTCAGTTCCTTTTTCCCTCACTGCGACTGCTGTGACTTTGAACCTACTGGCCGAAGTATCATTGCGATTTTCACGAACTTTAAACGTTTTAACAGCTTACCAGGACCGGGGTCCCTCCTCCGGGTCGTCGTTTATAACAAACGCCCGGGGACGATCGAGTAGACCACTTGTAGCACCACTACAGTCGAGAGTACTGTCATGATTGAGGGGCTGGTCTAGTGTGTTGTGCTCCTCCTCAGGCAATTGTGCACAATCGCTGTCACTTTCCTCGTCTTCTCCGGAAGCCTCTTCTTCATTTCGCATAACATTCAAGTACGACTTTCCTACAAATGACACTGTAAAAGGTGCTCTGGCATGATCATTATAGATCCAATCCTATGTCGGAGCAATTCTCGCATCAAGGAAGCCTTCCCGTATCCACGGTCGGCTGTTAGAATGAAACTATGTCCACTCCGTTCACCCCTACCTTCTAGGACAGACTCGACTAAGCTGTACACATCACTGCTTTGCGAAATTCCTCGGCGACGAAAGTGAACCATTAATGTAATCCGAGAAAGAGCGTCAGCTATTCCATCAGCTGCATGGCCTTCGCGATCGGCCTTTCTGCTACTGAGAGTCTTAATCTGGTTGTCAGCAGCACGAGTGTCGTACAAGTCGTCGTCAAGGGTGGCCAAAGTATACGTTGGTGACACAAAAAATTTGCATGTCTGCCTGAATGCCGTATTCTCGAACTGCGTCAAAAGCTGAGTCTGGTCCCTTTGTGCGAACCACGTTGTGTCACCATCCCTCCCTCGGCCTGTCGGCG